GGAACTATGTAGGATCACTCTATACTTTTGTTCAATTTTTCTATAAATCCTCTAAGAAGTTAAATCTATAAATTTAAAACATGAAACATATAAACAGAACAGTCTATTCACATGCCACCTTATATTTGTAAACATACACAAACAAGCTCTGGGAAGCAAGAACAGTGATGCCTGTGAGGAACAAAGGGGAATGCCTTTGTTTTGTTGACCTGGTCTCCCTAGTCCCAGGCCTCCTGGAACTCACTATGTAGACCAGGCTGGCCTCAATCTCACAGAAATGCCCCTCACCTCTGCTTGCTGGGATTAATGGCCCCCACACCCAGGAGGACAGAGGGAAATGTAAACATATTTACTGAGTTCTAAAATGAAGACCCACAGAGTTGGCTCAGACACATGTAGAGAACCAAGGCACTGGTATTCATAATCAATGTAAGACAATCAAACTGCTCCTTGATAGCTGGTATTGATCTGTTAGCTTACTATATTTTCCTTGAGCCAAACTCAATTTTATTTGTGTGTAGGTACTTGGAGGCATGCACTTGTGCAAGCACGGAGGTCAGAGGATGACATCAGGTGTCCTGCTCTAGCATGCTTTTATTTTTTTTCCAGGTCTTTTTGAAACAGGGTCTCCCTGTAGCCCCAGCTGGCCTGGAACTCGCTATGTAAACCAGGCTGGCCTTGAATTCACCACAGAGATCCACCTGCCTCTGCCTCTGCCTCCCAAGTGCTGGGCCTACAGGCATGCACTACCATGCCCAGCTCTAGCACGCTGTCTTAGTCCCATGAGACAGAGCCTCTCCCTGAGCCTGGAGTTAGGCTAGTCCAGCAAGCCCCAGCAATCCTCCTGGCTCTGCCCCTCACAGTGCTGGGGTTACCGACCTAGAGCAACACCCAGATTCTTTAGAGGGGTGCTGGGACCCAAACTCAGGTCCCTAAACTTGTGCAGCAAGTGGTCTCAAAGCCACTGAGCCGTCCTTCCTGCCCAAGTCTACTCTGCTCTCCACTTTCTGGATACATATAAATTTCCAAACTACAATAGAAAACAAAGTTTGGAATAAACAAATGACTTACCTGGGATTTAATCATTTCTGCAGTTGGGGTGAAGGCACAGAAGCACAGAGGCAGAACTGGAATAAAAGAAAGACATATAACGATCGGACCTGCCTCACACTCAGAATTTTTTTAGAAATCACTACAACCACCTGGAAAATACATCTGAGAACACTGTAACTAAAGCGTTTACAACACTAAACCACTTATCTTATTTTTTGAGACAGGGTCTCACTAGCTCATGATAGCCTCAAAATCATGATACTTCTGCCTCAGGCTCCCAAGTGCTGGGATTACAGAAGAGAGCCACCACACCAGGTATGCATTAAACTCTACCTCAGAAAGGCTTCACTTAATGGCCTCAGTTTCCACTGCCCTGCCCCCAAGCGCATTAAACCCAAATCAATCATAGGAAGGAAACAATAAAGGTAAGAATGAAAATCAATAAACCTGAAGCAGGAAAACAATGGAGAAATGCAACGAAACCAAAGCTGGTATGTGAAGAGATCAATAATGGTAAAATCTTCACCAAACTGGCCAAGAAAAAGAAAAAAACCTGGATGTGGTAGTGTGGTAACCCACCACTGTAATTCCAGCACTCTGAAGGCTGAGGGAGGACTCTAAATTCCAGGCTAGCCTGGACTACATGGTGAGACCTTGCTTAACCAAACAAAAATCCAAAATGAAACAAAACTACTAGTATCCTGAATGATTCAGGGTGTACTACTACAGATGCTGCAGATATAAAAATGTGCTCTTGGCTTGAGATTTCAGCAAACTGCCCGAGAGTGCCTGGATCAGGCCTCCACGTGATGAGCTTCCCCAAACTGCACAGTGTCTAACACCCTAATTGGGATTACTTGAGGCCCCCTCCTATGACCCAGGGATAGACCTCTCTGCCTTACAGTAGGGTAGGGGCTGACCCTTCAGACCTCCTGAGAGTGCCTGGAACCAGTCTCCTTGTGGAGGTGACCTTGCCCAAATCATGCAGGGCCCAACCCCTGACTGGGATTACGTGAGGCAGCTCCTACTTTACCAGGGGCAGACCTCTCTGTCCTAAAGCAAGAGCTGAGACCTTAGCAGACCACCTGAGGGTGCTAAATCAGGCCTCCCCTTAGCGAACTTCCCAAATTGTGCTTGAGTACCCACTAGTAGGGGTCCAAACGTTAGAAGGAAGCCTGATGTACCTGACTGGAGCCTGACTTGGGCTTCTGTGGGAGCTCCTGAGTAGCTGATCTGAAGCTATCAGTTCCCCCCAAAATAAAATGAGTGAACATGAAACCTAGACCAACCAGCTTTACATACCCAATAAGAAAACAACCAAAGCACACCAATAATTCAAATAGAAGCAGACTTCAACTCAACAAAAGAAGGCTTGAATTTCATATGAGAATCACAAACAACAAAAGAAATTCACATGCCAAAATCGCAACGGAAAAATAATATGGAAAACCAAAACAGTTTGTTCCCACCAAACTCCACCAGTACTGTAGAAGAGTTCTACAAGGAGAACCCCCTAGAGGTAACCCAAGACACAGAATTTAACAGAACAATTATAAACATGATCAAGGAATTCAACAAATTTAAAGAACACACAAAGAATTAAAAGAAGATAGGGATAAACTTCTGACTGAGTTCACAAAATACACAAAAACATAGGAGAAAATTCAGGTTGAAATGAAGAAGGAAGTGAAAAACTCAGTAAGCTGATTTGAAACAACAGGAGAAAGCCTCACCACTAGAATGAATGAAATGGAAAACAATATCAACGTTGGAAGGTAAAGTTGAACTGGACTGCTTAAGTAAAGAGTACAAAAAAAAAAATTTAAAACACAGGAATGGAACATGCAGGTGATGTGGAACACCATGAAAAGACCAAATCTATATAGCATATGCATAGAGGAAGGAGAAGAATTTCAGGTTAACGGTACTGACCAGATCTTAAACAGGATTGTAGAAGAGAATTTCCCAAAATTAAGGAAAGACATTCCCATACAAATATAAGCACATAGAACACTAAATAGGACCAGAAAAGAAACTCCTCACGGCACATCATAGTAAAAACACTAAATGTACATAACAAAGAGAAAATACTAAAAGCTGCAAAAGAAAAACTCACATATAAAGGAAAACCCATCAGAATTACAGCTGATTTATCAATGTAAACTATGAAAGCAAGAAGAGCCTGGACCAAGGTATTTCCAGTTCTAAATGACCATAGATGCCAACCAAGAATAATTTACCAAGCAAAAATGTCTGTTATAGTTAAGGGGAAAGAAAAATCTTCCATGACATAAATAGGCTGAAAGAATACATATCCACAAAACCAACCCTTCAAAAAATACTTGAAACAATAAAAAGAATGGAGAAAGGAACAACTATACTCCAGGGGCAATAGAAAGAAACTAAATGAAGGTGTAATTGTGGAAACAAAATTAGACAAAGAATGGGAACAGTAATCAAAATGATGGCAAACAATACACATCTTTCAATAATAACTTTAAATATCAATGGACTGAACTCCCCAGTCAAAAGACACAGGCTAGTTGAATGTATTAAGAAACAAAACCCGGGGCTGGAGAGAGGGCTCAGTGGTTAAGAACACTGACTGTTCTTGCAGAAGACCCAGGTTCGAATCCCAGCACCCACATGGCAGCTAACAACTGTCTGTAACTCCAGTTCCAGGGGATCCGACAGCCTCTTCTGTCCTCCACGGGCATTGCATGATATGGGTGCACTTACCTACATTCAGGCAATACACGCATACACATAAAATTGAAATAATAAAATATAAAAAAAAAAAACCAAAATACAAAAACCCCCCTCATCTTTTTGTTGTCTGCAAGAAACCCATCTCATCTTCAAGGATAGGCACTACCTTAAGGTGAAAGGATGGAAAAGAATATTTCAAGCAAATGGCACTAAGAAACAGGCAGGGGTTGCAATTCTAAAATCTGACAAAATAGACTTCAAACTAAAACCAGTAAGAAGAGATAAAGAGGGTCACTTCATTCTGGTCAAAGGAACAATTAACCACAAAGATATTACAATCGTGAACAAATATGCACCAAGCTCTGGTGCACCTGAATTCATAAAAACACTACAGGACTTTAAGACACAGATTAACCCCAACTCAGTAATAGTAGGGGACTTCAAATACCCCACTGTTTCCATTAGACAGGTCAACCAGACAAAGAATAAACAGAGAGACGTCTGAATTCAATGATACCATACATCAAATGGACCTAACAGACATCTTTCGAATATTCTACCCAAGCACCAAAGGACATACTTTCTATTCAGCACCCCATGGAATTTTCTCAAAAACTGATCACATACTGGTGCACAAAACAAACCTCAACAAATACAAAAAAAATTGAAATAATTTCATGCATTCTATCAGACCACAGTACAATAAAACTTAAAATCAACACTGGAAGAAGCCCTAGTTGTGTAGTGACATGAACTCATGGAGATTAAACAACACACTCCTGAATGATGAGTGGGTCAAAGCAGAAATTAAGAAATAAAATTATTCTTGTAATTCAACAAAAAGGACAATACAACACAACAAAACCTCTGGGACACTTTAAAAGCATTCCTAAGAGGGAAGTATATAGCTCTAAGCGCCTTAAAAAATCAGAAATAACACAAATAAATGACTGAAAAGTGCAACTCAAGACTCTGGAAAGGCAAAAACAAATGAAACCCAAACCCAGAAGAGAAGAAATAATAAAAATCTGAGCAGAAATTAATGAAATAGAAACAAAACAATACAAAGAATCAATGAATCTAAGAACTGGTTCTTTGAAAAGCTAAACAAGATAGACCCTTAGCCCAGTTAACCAAAACAGAGAAAGAGTAAATCCAAATAAAATCAGAGATGAAAGGGGAAACATCACAACAGACACCCAAAAGATCCAGAACATTATAAGGGAATACTTTAAAAACTTATTCTCTCTTAAATTTGAAAACCTAAAAGAAATGGTTGGATATCTAAAATCATGGAACCACCAAAGTTAAACCAAGAAGAGATCAACAGTTTAAACAGACCCATAAAATATAAGGAAATTGAAACAGTAATACGAAACCTCCCAACTAAAAAAAATAAAAAAAAAAAGCCCAGGCCCAGATGGATTTACAACAGAATTCTACCAAACACTTAAATAAGACCTCCAACCAATCACTACTTAAATTATTCAAAATGATAGAAACAGAGGGAAAACTCCCAAATTCCTTCTATGAAGCCAGCATCAAAAACCAGGGAAAGACACAACCAAAAAAGAAAACTATAGATCCATATCCTTAATGAACACAGATGTAAAAATTCTCAACAAAATACTTGCAAACCACATATAGATGTACATCATCAATAAGACCATTCACCATGATCAAGCAGGCTTTATTCCAGAGATGCAAGTCAATAAACATTATCATATAAATGGACTCAAAGGTAAAAACCACATCTCAACAAATGCAGAAAAGGCTTTCAACAAAATTCAGCATGCATTCATGATAAAAGTTCTAAAGGGAACCAGACTGGAGGGAACATACCTCAATATAATTAAAGCCATATATGATAACAAACCCACAGCCAACACCATTCTAAATGGAAAAAAGCTGGAAGCATTCTCATAAAAATCGGACAAGGACACTCCTTTTCAATATAGTGCTTAAAACTCTGGCTAGAGCAGTAAGACAAGAGAAGGAAATTAAAGGAGTACTAATTGAAAAAGAAGAGGTCAAATTATTCCTTTTCACAGATGATATGATACTATACCCAGGAGATCCCAAAAATTCCATTCCTAGAACTGATCAACATTTTCAGGAAAGTGGTAGGTTACAAAATTAATCTACAAAAATCAGTAGCCTTTTTATAGACCAATAACAAGCAATAGGAGAACGAGTATGGGGAAACACTCCCTTTCACAGTAGTCTCCCCCCCGCCAAAAAATCTCAGAATAAACCTGACCAAAGACATCAAAGATCTCTACAATGAAAATTTTAAATCTTTAAAGAAAGAGATTAAGAGAGACACCAGGAGAAGGACCTCCCATGCTCATGGATTGGAAGAATT